TTGCCCTCTCCAGTGTAGGCACCAACCAGTTCATTGAGGGCTTGAAATAGAAAAGGCAGAGGAAGAAGGAATCTGCCCCTTATTCCTCCCTGACATCATCTCTTCTTCTCTGGCCCTTGGACTGAGATCTACACGGTTAGCAGCCCCAGTTCTCAGGCCTTCAAACTCAGACCGAATTAAACAACTGATATCTTTGGTCTCCAGCTTGCAGACAGCAGATCGTGGGACTTCTTCGCCTCACAATTGCATAAGCCAAATTCTCATAATAAATCCTCCGTGTGTGTGTGCATGCATATACATTCTATTGGTTCTGTTTTTCTTAAGAATCCTGACTAATACACTGACCAAGAAACAAGAAAGAGAGTAAGAAAGAAGTCACAAATCACCAATATTGGAAATGAAAGATGAGACATCACTATAAATCTACTGGTATTAAAAAGATAAAAGAATATTACAAACAGCATCAAGCCAAAAATTAATCAACTTAGATGAAATGGACAAATTCTCAGAAAGGCACACACCATCAAAACTCATTCAAGAAAAAAATAACCTGAATAGAACTACATCTACTAAAGAAATTGAAGTCTCCAACACAAAATATGTAATATATACGTATATACACATACATACATATACATACCCATGATAGAATAACAGCTCTATGAAACAATTTTGAAAACTTAGATGAAATGGATAAATTCCTAGAGGAATGACTTACCAGGTCTGACTGAGAAAAAACCTACAGTTTTACAAGTATTTCTTTAACTATTAAAGAGATTTAAGCTGTCGTTAATAATCACACCATGAACAAAACACCAGGCCCCAACGGTTTTACAGGATGTTTTAATAAACCTTCAAAAAACAAATCATCCCAATTTTATATGAACACTTAGAGACAACAGAAAAGAGGAAGTATTCCCCCAACTAATTTCAAGTACAGTTTAATATTTACATCATAAACAGACATGACGAAGACCTCTTCAAATATTTATGGGTCAGATGTTTTCCTTTTTATAATATGCCTATTCATGTTTTTTTTTTTTTTCTTTTTTTAAATTAATTCAGTCTCCGTAGAGACTGTCAAAAATTGCCAATGCCAACTGTATTTCAAGTCGTCATGGCAGGGTATTGGGAAAAGTTTTCAATTAGCAATAATCGCGCCTCGGATAAACCTCATTGGCTACGATACTGCCACTGCGCAAAGCTGTCTTTTTTTTTTAAGGCAGATTCTCGCTTTGTCACTCAGGCTGGAGTGCACTGGCATGATCTCAGCTCACTGCAACCTCCACCTCCCAGGTACAAGTGATTCTCCTACCTCAGCCTCCTGAGTAGCTGGGATTACAGGCACCCACCACTGTGCCCAGCTAATTTTTGTATTCTTAGTAGAGATGGGGTTTCATCATGTTAGTCAGGCTGGTGTGAAACTCCTGACCTCAGGTGATCCACCCACTTGAGCCTCCCAAAGTTCTGGGATTACAGGCGTTGAGACACAACATCTGGCCTATACTTTGTTATTTATACAGTTGACCCTTGAACAACATGGGGGCTATGGATGCTGACCCCCCCCACACGGTAGAAAATCCGTGTATAACTTCTGACTTTCCAAAAACGTAACTACTAATAGCTTACTGTTGACAGGAAGTCTTACTGATAACATAAACAGCCTATTAACACATATTTCATGTTTCGTGCATTACATATTCCTACAATAATTTAAGCCAGAGAACTGAATGTTAATAAGAAAATTATAAAGAAAACATATTTACTACTCCTTAAATGGAAATGGATCATCATAAAGGTCTTCTTCCTCACAGTCTTCACATTGAGTAGGCTCAGGAGGAGGAGGAGGAAGAGGAGTTTTTGTTTTCTTGGGGTGTCAGAGGCAGAAGAAAATCTGTGTATATGTGGACCTGCTCAGTTCAAACTCATATTGTTTGTGGGTAAAGCGGAGTCACCATGTTATTCAACAATCTCTTGAAAATTTATTCCTCCCGTCAAACTAAACTTTTGTATCCTTTTGTAATGTTGGAGTTCAGGGGTTCAGGGAAGCCCTCAGTTCCCCTGAAAGGACATTTCTCCAGGTTCTTGGTCTACCACTCCCCCCAAGAACAGGAGAGGAGACCACAGCACAGTGCGGAGTAAATGCCAGACTCAAAAGTGTTTGTAGAATGTAGTTTATTTAGGTAGAGAGAAAAAAAGGAGGAGAAAGAAACAGCTAACTCTCAACAGTGAGTGAGAGAATCCAGACAGATGGAATCCAGGAGAGGAAAGCAGCTTCCACAATGAATGGAAGGGAATAGAGAGAGATGGAGTTTAGGAGGGGAAGACAGGCTTCCACGAGAGAGTGTGGAAGGGAACTCCAGAGGGGAAATCCAGGAGAGAGAAAGACAGCTTCCACGAAGGGAATATTTGTGGAAGGGGACCCAAACATGGAGTCCAAAGAAGTGTGGAAAAAGGGGACTTTTAACCTAGGAAGAACCCCCACCTTCTCCAAGACCTCTGGCCAAGGAAAGAGTTCCTTGGAACTTCCGCTGGAGTGATTGACTTTTGACCCTTCCCCGTGCCCTCAAAAATTAAAACAGAGACCATTAAATCTCCCAGATGGAGAAAGATGCAAGGGGGGCATGGTGCTGGGAAGTTCTTGCCCTTAAAACTACGGCCCCTTGTGGACCCGGAAAGAGAACACATTCCTTCACTTTGACCAACATCTCCCCAAATCCCCCAAACTCCCATGCCCACCATTACTACTCACTGCTTCTAACAGTTCAAAATTTTTAGATTCCATATATAAGATTCTCCTACCTCAGGCTCTTGAATTTCTCCTATCTCAGGGAGATTTTCATAAACATTGCATTGAATCTGTAAACCATTTCGAATGTATACACGGCCTTAATAATTATTAATTCTTCCAATCTGTGAACATAAAATGTTTTTCCATTTGCATGTGTCCTCTTCAATTTCTTTCATCAATGTTTTAGAGTTTTCAGAATGCAGACCTTTCACCTTCTTAAACTTATTCCTAAGTATTTTATTTTTCTTTTAGTAGCTATTGTAAATGGGATTGTTTTCTTGATTTCTTTTTAAGATAGTTGTTAGTGTATAGAAACACTACAGATTTTTGTATATTGATTTTACATACTGCAGCTTTAGTTAATTCATTCATTAGTTTTTTACATATATTTTATTTATTATGCTAATTCATTCACTAGTTCTAACAAGTTTTGATGGAGTCTTAATAGTGTTTTCTATACACAGGATGACGTCATGTGCAAAGAAATACAATTTAATTTCTTCCTTTCCAAACTGAATGCCTTTTCTTTCTTACCTAATTGCTCTGGCTAGGACTTCTAGCTCTATCTTTTTGAAAGTCCCTCCTTTACCCATTGATCTGACATCTACTTTTGTCATTTAATAATATTCTATACTCATGAATCTCTTGCTGGGACTTATTCATTCTGTGATTGTTCTATTCAACAATTTGTCTACTTTGTGCCAATATTGTACTCTCTTTGTTGTATTCTCTTAGTTGCATAAAATTTCCCATATCTGGTAGGGCTAGTCCTTCTCTGGAAGCGTTCTGGCTATTCGCGACCCTTTATTCCTCCAGCTTTGATTTCATTTTTCATCACTGTAATTCTTTTCCTGAAAATACTAATTCCTTTGCCCTCTCTCCATCACACTTATCTGACTAGATTAGTCAGATTTAAATCCATCCATTTAAATCCACCTCCTCACCTCTTCAGTTATTTCACTGAATGAATCTGAAGAAATACACATAAATCACTGATGTCACTTCATAAACACAGATTTCAGATGGGCTCTCAGAACTGCTCAACAACCCTATTTTCGTGTCAATGCATTTTCCTACCATTCTAGATTAGGAGGCAGTATAATATAGGGGTCAAATATAAGATTCTAAAACCAGATTACCTGGGTTAAAATCTTAGTTTTACCACTTACTAAATATGTGACCTTGGGCAAGTTAAACTCACCAAAGCCTCAGTTTCTGCATATCTATCCCTCAGTAAAATTCTCTTTATCTATCCCTCAGTAAAATTCCTTATGAAAATGAGTTAATACATATAAACCGAAAATAGCATCTGACACATAGTAAGTACTATCTAATGCCTGTATTGTTATTGTTGATGATGATTTCACATCTTACCCTTTTTCTCCCACTCTTTCTTTTCACTGATGGCCTTGCTTTTTATTTCATTGAAAAAATAAGTCAGAAGAGAAGCTCCACAACCTCCTACCATCAAATCTTCCAATTTACTTGCTGCTGTACCCATCACTCTATTACTGTACATAAACTGTTATTGTTCCTACAGTCAACTCCTCCACTTGGGCACCCTTCTAGTCCACTCAAGGACCTGCTCCTGCAATTCTCCCCTTTCTCTGCTGAATAGCCCATTTTTAATTTTCTCAATCTGATCAGCATACAAAAATGTCATAAAAGTTGTCATCTTAAAAATAAAACCCTCACCGGATGTGGTGGCTTACACCTGTAATCCCAGCACTTGGAAGGCTGAGGCAGGTGGATCACCTGAGGTCAGGAGTTCAATACCAGCCTGGCCAACACGGAGAAACCCTGTCTCTACTAAAATACGCATGCCTGTAATCCCAGCTACTAGGGAGGCTGAAACAGGAGAATCGCTTGAACCCAGGAGGCAGAGGTTGCAGTAAGCCAAGATAGTGCCATTGCACTCCTGCCTGGGTAACGAGAGCAAAACTGCATCTCAAAAATAAATAAAATAAAATAAATACAATCCTCCTAATTCCATATTCCCTCTCCCAATGTGGTCCTATTTCTCTGCACATAATAAAAATGCCTTGAAAAATTGTCTATATTTGCTGTCTAGACTGCCTTCCCTCCCATATTCTCTTCACTCCACTCCCATGAGCCTTTCACTTTCAATACTCCATGTAACCCGTTTTTGACAAAGTGACCAGTAACCTCCACACTGTCAAATCCAGAAGACAATTCTCAGTCATCTTACCTCTTTTCATACTTCTTCACTCCTTTCTTCACTTGGCTTTGAACAGAATGTAACACTGGCCACTCTTTCTTCATCTATTTTGCTTCACCTGCCTTCTCTTCTGTACCACTAAACTTTGGTATGTTCAGGACTCTAATCTTTCTCTGTTCTACCTACAGTCATGGCCTAAGCTATCTCAGTCAGAGCCAGAGTTTTTAATACTATTTATTCGTCGATGACTCCTCAACTTCGTATCATATATCCAACTGTCCCTTTCACATCCCTGAATGTTTGACAGCTCAAACTTAACACATCCAGAGCAGAACTCTTCATTTCCTCCTTTGAAATTTGCTCCTGTCCTAGTATTTCCCACTCTGCAACTCACCCAACTCACAACTCACAACTCTACAACTCAACCAAGTGCTCAGGTCAAAAATCACAGTGCTCTAATTAACTCCTCTCTCGCATCCTACAGTACTGAGCAAATTCTATTCATTCTACCACCAAACAGTATATCTGACCCAACCACTTTTTACCATCTCCACTGAGGGTCCAAGCTACCACCATCTCTCATCTGAGCTATTGCAATACCTTCCCAAGTGGCCTCCCAGATTCATGTCTTTTTCTCCTCTCAACAGCCAGAGTAATCTCATAAAAATACAAATCCCATTTTGATACCTACTCACATGCTCAAAATTTTACTATGGCCTTAAATCACCAGAAGAGTAGAAAAGGGCTTTACCATGGGCTACAGGCTCCACATGTCGCTGTGTAACTTTCAGACCCTATCTAGTGCCATACTGCTCCTCAGTTATGCTCCTCTTCTTCACTGATCTTTCAGTTCTTAAAAAGCACTAACCCGGATGCGTGCAGTGGCTCACAGCGGTAATCCCACGTTGGGAGGCTGAGGCGGGTGGATCACAAAGTCAGGAGTTCAAGACCAGCCTGACCAAGATGGTGAAACCCCCATCTCTAAAAATACAAAAATTAGCTGGGCATGGTGGCAGGCGCCTGTAATCCCAGCTACTGAAGAAGCTGAGGCAGGAGAATCGCTTGAACTGGGGAGGCAGAGGTTGTGCCACTGCACTCCACCTGGGTCGAAAAAGCAAGACTCTGTCTCAAGATAAGAAGAAAAAAAAAATCCAGAATCAACCAATCAAGAAAAAGGCAGTAGCTCATTCTACATCTCTACAGAGATGTCTCCTTAAACAACCCTATCCAGAGTAGCCACCCTCATCCCCAAGTCACTATTACCCATCCAGCTATATTTTCTCCATAGCTTTACAGTATTTTTTAAATTATGTAACTTACATCTATCTATCTGTCCTCTCATACTTAGAAAATAAACTCTATCAGAACAGAAACTTTTACCCTATTAATTTAACCGTCATATTCCCAGTACCTACAACAGCATCTAGCACATATATCTATGCATATTTTTAAATCCTTGCTGAGTGAACCAATATCCCAGAAACCTCTCATAGCTAGTTCATCTTACAGGAGAAACTGAGTATGAGTTAATTAAATGGCCGAGCGTGGTGCCATACGTCTGTAATCCCAGCACTCTGGGAGGCCAAGGCGGGTGAATCACTTGAGGTCAAGAGTTCGAGACCAGCCTGGCTACCATGGCGAAACTCCGTCTCTACTGAAAATACAAAAATTAGTCAGGTGGTGGACACCTGTAATCCCAGCTACTCAGGAGGCTAAGGTGGGACAATCGCTTGAACCCGGGAGGCAGAAGTTGTAGTGAGCCGAGATCGCACCACTGCACTCCAGCCTGGGTGACTGTGAGACCCTTTCTCCAAAAAAAAAAAAAAAAAAAGTAATTAAATGACTCGTCCAAGGTCGCACACGAGTCAAAATAAATGGCAGCGTTAGAGTTAGAGGCAGTCTGGCTCCAAAGCTTGGGGTTTTAGTTACTACACTACATTGCTTCACTACATTTTACAATTCACTATGTTGCTTGTGAGTATGAATTAAGGCTCAGAAGTCTAAATTTCCATCGTACTCAGCGGACTCCCGCCCCACTCCATTCCACTCCACAAAGATTCAGCTCAGCGACCTCTCTCTTCTCAGACCTAGCTCCGACTAGCATATCCCGGCACCCCACGCGCCGTGCCTTTGGCAAGGGCGCCTGCGTGATGAATGGGTCCCATGCAAAGCATTCTGGGATTGGTAGTCCACTTTCCTCCGGTCTCCAGCATTCACGTGAAAAACAGGGAAAAAACAATGTAAATTAGATATCTCTGAATTTCATACAAATTAAATAAAACGCAGATTCTGGCTCAGGAAAGTGATGCAAACGCGTCGTTTTCAAAGGAGAGACTCCAGCCTCGGGTCAGGCGCGGCGCAGACCGCGGCTCGGGGTCCTTGGCTGGGCGGGGCTTGCTCGCGGTGGCTTGTGGCTCCTTCCGGCGCTGCTTCTCTCTTTCGCTCAGGCCCGTGACGCCGGCAGGATGGGTGAGCTGTCCGGGTCCATCTGAGGGCGCCGTAAGCGGGACTTGGGGTCTTGGGAACAGGCAGCCGGAAGCGAATAGAGTAGGGAGCGGGATGCCACGGAGAGGCTCCATGCGGGAGGGCTGGGAGAGGGCCGGGGGAGCGCGGCTCCAGGAGGCACATGGTCGGACGCGGAAAGGGCCCATGCGGCGCTTATGCCGCCGAGGTCGGGTACCGACGGACGCAGGGAGACCGGCGCTTCTCCCGAGCACTCGAGCGGGGCCTCGTCCTTTAGGAGAGCACACCCTCCAGAGCCCTCTTTGAACGTTTATTAGCCGGTTCAGGGAAAGGCCAATTGTTTGGCCCACGAGTCAATATACGAGAGCCATTCAGTTTAAGGGTTTATTCCAGGTGAGGCGAGTGTTTAAAAAGATATGAAACATGTAGATGGCGTGTTTTTGCGGAATAACTAAAATATTTTAATTTTTAGGCAAGTGTCGTGGACTTCGTACTGCTAGAAAGCTCCGTAGCCACCGACGAGACCAGAAGTGGCATGATAAACAGTACAAGAAAGCCCATTTGGGCACAGCCCTGAAGGCCAACCCTTTTGGAGGTGCTTCTCATGCAAAAGGAATCGTGTTAGAAAAAGTGTGAGTCCATTGCTCCCGTCAAGGTTTAGTTTATTATAGGAACTCGAGACATAAACTTACTGAATTCTTGTTTTTAAAGTGATTACTGGTTTTTGTGTAGTGGTGTTCACTTGGGCATTGCGGGGTAAAATTGCAAAACGTTTATTTAAAAGTTGGCAAAATTAGCGCTTGGGAGTTAGTTAGGGTTGTTTTTTTTTAAATTGGCCTGGGAGGAATTGCAGAAGATACTAACAATGATGAAGTAAAGGACATACTTCTACTGTGGGAGGTGTTATAAGTAAATGGCACGTGTCAGCCGTTGAATCTGCAATGAAATGATTTTTCTACTTGTTAAGGTGAATTGACTTGCATCAGAAGTGACTGAAGTTGTATACCTAAGATGGAGACATGAAATTGCCAATATTTGACTGGTTTTGACTTTTAAAAAAGATAGTTTCACATAGTTCAGTTGTATTTCATGGTAGAGCCATCTTTTTGTCTTTTTTTTTTTTTTTTTTGGAGAAGGAGTCTATCTCTGTCACCTAGGCTGGAGTGCAGTGGTGCAATCTCTGCTCCCTGCGTCCTCAGCCTCTCAGCTGGGATTACAGATGCCCACCACCATGCCAGCTAATATTTTGTATTTTTAGTAGAGACAAGGTTTCACCATGTTCACCAGGCTGGTCTCAAACTCTTGACCTCAGGTCATCTACCCGCCTCGACCTCCCAAAGTTCTGGGATTACAGGCATGAGCCACTGTGCCCAGCCTAGGCTTTCTAATTCTTACAATTCTTATCGCAGATTTTTTTTCTTTGGAGACATGGTGTCTTGTATCCCAGGCTGGCAGCCTTGACCTCCACCTCGGCCTGGCAAGTAGATGGGACTGCAGGCCAACACTGCTACTCTGGTCTAATTTTACAACTGTAAAGGGTCTAGAAATTTCCCCCATTGTGCTAATGAAATTAAGACTGACAGAAAACTCGGTTGGCATCACAGGACTTCAGCCATTTGAGGTTAGACTGAAAAGATGGAAACGGTTTCTCATTAATCCTCTAGTTTATGTGAAAAAATCCTTTTTCAGAAAGCCAGCTCACTCTGCTGTGACTTTTATGTTTCAGAGGAGTTGAAGCTAAGCAGCCAAATTCTGCCATTAGGAAGTGTGTCAGGGTCCAGCTGATCAAGAATGGCAAGAAAATCACAGCCTTTGTACCCAATGATGGTTGCTTGAACTTTATTGAGGTGAGCATTTCAGTTCTCTTGTAGCTTCTGTTCTTGGGGTGGCCTCCCACACATTTTTATCTGATCCAAGGGAGTTACCTCACATGAAAGTATTTTTGTGATTGCCACTGACACCGTAAATACACTTTTTATTTTATTCCAGGAAAACGATGAAGTTCTGGTTGCTGGATTTGGTCGCAAAGGTCATGCTGTTGGTGATATTCCTGGAGTTCGCTTTAAGGTTGTCAAAGTAGCCAATGTCTCTCTTTTGGCCCTATACAAAGGCAAGAAGGAAAGACCAAGATCATAAATTTTAATGATGAAAACACTGTAGTAATAAATTTTCATATGCCAAAAAATGTTTGTATCTTATTGTCCCCTGTTCTCGCCACAAAGATTGTGTTCTTTACCTGTTTTTTTTTTTTTAAATCCTAAACCAGCAAACACAGGACCTTTACCAAATTTCAGGTGATGATAAGACAGAGTTGTTTTAGGATTCTCTAGGTTTATAAGCTGGCACAATTGCCCTCATCCTGTGGAATAAGAAAATGAGATAGATCTGGAGTAAATATACAGTGTTGTAGGATTTAAGAACTTTATTGGGACTTTAAAAAAAACACTGAAATTCTAGTGAGATGATTTATTTTTTATTCTTGGTATTTTCTGTATCTATTGCGACTCTTCAAGCAGTTGCCAGGTTTCACTCCCATAGATAATCTTAGGTGCCCTTGGAAATGCATATTCTTGTATCCATCTTTCAGGGACCCAAGATGATAAATAGTAACCTCAAAATTGCTCCCCACTCTATTGACTTACTTAAAGATGTCAGGATCTATGTTGTGATATGTTTACTGTGTTTGAAATTGGATACAGGCATTGGATCATTTAGTTGGTGGAAGTATATGCCAGGCAACAGAGATCAGATACGTATATGACAAGACTTGTTTTCAGTATTTTCTCATTGTCAGCAACCTCCATGTCTTCAAAGACCAGTCAGCAATGGATGTGGTTTGGTGTAGAGACGATATTGGTTGTTTTTAATTAAGCTAGGTGTTGAGTATATGTAGGGTTTGCCCTTCACAAATACTTGTTTCATAATTTTCACGGACAGTGGCATGGTTGAAATGAAGCTATTGGCCTTATGATTTAAATCTAAGAAACTACTGTTAACTAATGGTAAATACGGGTTAATCAGCGTTTAGATCAAATCCTAAGGATCACCTGAGGTCAGGAGTTCGAGACCAGCTTTACACTGTCTTTAGGATCTTTGGAAACAGTTGCTTTGGTTGCCCATTTCCCATTGGATCAGGAGCAGAACCTTTGCCATGGCACAGAAGAACCCAGGTTGTGCCTCATCCCTGCATATTCCAGCCTTAGCCTGCCATTTTTCTCCTTGGCTCTGCTCCAGCAACACTGGTCTCAGTTGCTCACGCTGAAACTTGTGTTCCACACCCAGCCTCAGAACTCTTCCTTTTATTAGGGTGCCCTGCATGTCACCTGCTCCTTTTATTTCAGAGCTTGTTTTCCAGCACATAAATGCTTATCTCTTTGATGCTCGTAGTCTCTCTGTCCACAAGGGTGAAAAGGATGCCTGTTGGTTTGCACCGGCATTTCCTAACCTGTAGCTGCAGTCAGTATTGTGCTTTCGGATGGGC